AGACCTACTCGTATGCAAATTGTGGTCGCGTGGTGTGGTAGGCTCATATAGTATAATATTTTACTTTTTCCATTGCCCGTGTGACCTATTTGTGCTCCAGCAGACCTACTCGTATGCAAATTGTGGTCGCGTGGTGTGGTAGGCTCATACAGTATAATATTTTACTTTTTCCATTGCCCGTGTGACCTATTTGTGCTCCAGCAGACCTACTCGTATGCAAATTGTGGTCGTGTGGTGTGGTAGGCTCATACAGTATAATATTTTACTTTTTCCATTGCCCGTGTGACCTATTTGTGCTCCAGCAGACCTACTCGTATGCAAATAGTGGTCGTGTGGTGTGGTAGGTTCATATAGTATAATATTTTACTTTTTCCATTGCCCGTGTGACCTATTTGTGCGCCAGCAGACCTACTCGTATGCAAATTGCGGTCGTACGATTATGAAATTGTGGGTAAAGGTAACACTGAGTATGTTTTTTCTGAACTCGCAGTACAGTACAGTACTGTGGAGCATAGTACAATATACTGTAGTGCGCATATTGACAGTACGGTGTGAGCCAGTTCTCTTTAGAGTGCTATTAGGCGAAATAAATTGTAGTAAAGTTGCAAAATTTGCCTTAAATTCTATACATACATATAGATGAAGTTATTCAGCTTTATATTCGTATAATTCTTATTACATTTGGATTCACACTCGTGATTTTAGGGTACCTTAAAGTACTCTGATGCGAACTGGTTCACACTGTACAGTACAGTGTACTGTACTGTAGCGGACAGGATACTGTACAGTACAGTACTGTACTGTACTGTACTGTACTGTACAGTATACAGCATTACAGCTTCATTAATTGATTCATAAATAAATAATAATAATTACTATCAGTTACTAGAAGTAGCGAAATCGCCATTTTTTTGTCCTGGGTAATTCCTGGCAAGAAATAACTAAAGACATTTAAAATATACTGTATGGTATATAGATATGGACTTTGCTGGAAAAAAGTCATATTTAGCTTGAGTACTAAACAAGACTGAAGATTTACAGTATCTTGAAGACAAACTAACAGTATAGGACTAAAAACACGACCAGTAGTAATCAGTAGAGTCGAGTACAGCAAAGAATAAAAGTGGCGAAAAATTCCAGGGTGTATTGTTGCTTATAGTAAGAAGTACATTGCTCTATCATACTATACTGTACCAAACTGTACAGACATCAAAAGGAGTGTGTTGTGTTTTAGAAAGGACAAAATAAATAACAAATAACCAGCAGACAATAATACTTCCCAATTAAAGGTCTATGACGCGTCAGTAGACGATGGGCCATACTATTTTGGGTATGACGAAGACTACGTACAGTACGGTACAGGAATACAAACAGACAATCAATCGAATGTTAGCGCAGCACGTACAGTATGCAACAGGACAAGATTTTACTGTAGTGCTTTATTTAGCAGTTGGACTACCGTACCGCAAAAGAGATTTAGAGCTCAAAAGGAAATTAGCGTCGGTCTGCACTTGTATTTGAAGAGAATCTCATCGTGGTGATGCCCAGTGCCTTTCTTTCTTTTTAAAAGGGAAAAAGGTAGAACAGTACACATCGGCGTAGAAAAAAAAGGTCCTTGCGATACTTTGGGTAAGTAATATTGAGGTTATTCATGCATATGCTATTCTGTAATGTTTGGTGTAGATCAATGCTATTTGGAAACCGCACTACGCATACAAAGGGTAGAAAGGGTTTCAATCGTGTGATAACCTTATTATTAGCAGAATGGTTTCAACTGCAATCAGTAATAACTTGATCAGATCGGTTTCATCTTCTATGATCAATGAGAACGAATGCATTTGCAAATGTCGCTTTCTCAACGATATCATTCAACTTGATCGCTAGAGTGTCGATTATCATATTCCATTCTCCAGTACTGAATTTCACGGTGGACTAATTCTACTGTATTGTTCATACAGTTATTTTACGTAGTGAGCTCGTGGAAAGTTATCACGTACTTTACGGCGATATATATCTCTCTGTATACAGGATATCAAATATCATTCCACTTGATTTTTCGTATATCCTCGTATACGAGTGATACTGTACTGTTTGTTACTGCTTGTGTCGTGTTTGTATTTTGATTAGCTTTCAAATTATTCCCTACAAGATGTTTATACTTGACGTCACTACAGCTATTTATCTTGTGGTTGTATATTTTCTATGCTTCTCCTACAATAGTACAAGATGACGTTGAGGAGTGATAAAAACTGAACTTGTGAATCTTTTTCAGGTGCTAATGGTGTAGTAATATACTATACTGTTGTAAATATGTGACAACTCATTGACTACTTGGCCGATTGATTAGTTGATGATCTCATTTACTAATAACTACTGGGTCGTCTATTTTTCACATGTCACTCTATCATCCATTTTTTTCCCTTGTTGTGACGAAAATATCCGTACAATATCCCAGTGCTACATTGCTTGAATGATTGCTATGATGATTGAGAAATAGATATGTAATGAGGACATAGGTGTGATCAAAGCGGACTATCAACATTGAGTTGCTGATAGGTCATCTGAAGTTCGATTAGGCTGGTTGCAGCACTCTTCATCATTGCATTACTGTTTGAATTATTGTTGTGTTGATCAATCGATAGTCTGATTATTATTCATTCTGCTGACCGATCTAGTAATAAGATCGTTCTTACGCGGGCAAATTAATGCTACATGTTTGGTCCACTTGCTTACACTTGGTTGGCCTGTTGTAGCAGCTATGTTTCCATTGATATCGTTGAACTTGAAATATGTACTGGTGATTCAATTAAATTATTGTTCCATCGTACAATCGTTGTATATATTGTACGCGTCTACATCAAGGGATGATGCACAGTACGCTATCTTTGCATATTTAGAGTGATTGGTTTAGGCGGTAATATTTTTCGTACCGTACGAGTACTTGATATTTGCGTGATATCCACGTAGTATACAGTATATAATAACATATCTACGTCTTCATATTACCCTATGCCTTTCCTCATGTCTGAAACAAGCGAATTGATGAATAGCCAATCGGTGGAAAAAAAAGCATGGCTCGAAAATTTTATTACTCTAATAATATAACAAGAGACCCTAGTGATTATTGACCGATTGAAGTTAAATTGCTGTAAGTGTTTCCACTTATCGTGATCGTAGCCCGACATGACTAGTTGACTGCTTAAATTCAATTAATACTGTACAGTAAGGCTTTTTCTCCCATTTCTATCAGTACTGTATGCTGTACAGTCAATATCGATGTCGATACGCATGTCCAGTTGTATTGTCATAACGAACATTGTCTCGTCCAATGGAGTCAACCATGGTAACGACGTAACGACTTGAGTTGCACACATAAAGATGAAAAACAACCTTGACTGTACTGTACGCGCTGCAACCATATCGTATGATCTCTCATGGCGTATCATACGCTAGGCTGAATGTATTGTCTGCTCTGCTTCGTCCCTGATATTGAACCGTTGCGGTACGATAGCAACGACTTGACGGTACGTACGGTAGACGCAATTTCTGATTGACTTGACACTGTACGAACTTGTTGGTCAAGCGTTGCAGTACTGTATTGTCGGGACCGTCCTGGATCCGGTACGGTAGCACGGTAGACGCAATTTCTGATTGACTTGACAGTGTACGAACTTGTTGGTCAACCGTTGCAGACGGTACGTACGGTTGACGCAATGGATGATTGACGCAACACTGTACGAACTTGTTGGTCAACTGTTGCAGTACTGTCGGGACCGTACTGGATCCGGTACCAACCAACGACTCGACGGTACGTACGGTTGACGCAATAGATGATTGACTTGACACTATACGAAGTTGTTGGTCTGCCACTGTCGGGACCGTACTGGATCCGGTACCAACCAACGACTCGACGGTAAGTACGGTTGACGCAATGGATGATTGACACAATGCTGTACGAACTTATTGGTCAACCGTTGCAGTACTGTCGGGACCGTACTGGAACCGGTACGGTAGCACGGTAGACCCAATGGATGATTGACACAATACTGTGTACTGTACCAACTTCTTGGTCAACCGTTCCAGTACTATCGGGACCGTACTGGAGCCGGTACCAACCAACGACTGGACTGTAGACGGTAGACACAATGGTGATTGACACAATAGCAACTTGTTCGTGTTGACAAGTCTATTGTATAGCACACGACTCGTCGTTATTCAGCCTCAATCAATGACTCAGTCCATTTTATTGAATGTTATTGTTGTACGCTTTTTATGTAGCCAATAGTGATGTTGAATTCTGTTCTGGTTATCATCACTTGCAGTCAGTAGATGTATGCGACTAAGGTTAACGTTTCATTCTTGCAGAGTGGACATTCTTGACTTACTGATCCAACTTACCCATGACGAGAAGACTTGAGCTGCAATAGCATCAATTAATTGTTGAGAAAAATTGTTATTACAGCCATTCAAGTTGATATTGTACAACTGGACGCGTAGAATATAGCAAGGGATAGTCGGTCTTTTGAATCGACACCAACAATCATTTCAACACGAGTTCGTCTTGAAATTGAGATCGCTGACATTGCTCCAATCCAATAGACGTCTACGGAGTGGATGTAAGTCATCATTCATTGATATCTTGTCCGATATTCTACTGTACAGGATAGGCAGGATGATAGTCAATCATAGTTAGTGAATTGGCTTACAATACAAATTGCCTTTGGATGTCATTCTTGAATGGATCAAATCAACTCAAGATTATACAAGACGTCATTCACTTGCATTAAAACGTAGTCCAAAGTAATTGCAAATGGAGAGAATAGCAACTAGTTCGTCGTGCATCCTTTTCAATTTTGTTTTTTTGGGGGGGGGGGTTTTGTTTTGTTTGCTTATCATCAAGATTGTCTTGTCTTACAATATTGTAAGGTCTTAATCAATTCATTTCCATTGACTAGTTTGCTGTAGACAAGATTGATATATAAATTACAATTATCGACGAGATGGCGGATGCGGCTAATAAACCAACGACTGAAAATAATAACGAAGATGCATCGAAAAAAGCTGGTACTAGGTAAGATAGATAGTTTTTGGGAGACAGTAAAAAATAGACATGTCGATCAACGTTACATGTGCACTAGTATTGTTGTCTACATATCTTTGATCAGAATGAAGCGTTGTCATTCATCCATTTCACTACACACAATTGAACTTTCATCTTGATCATGATTGTCAAAATTGCTGTCAGTAATATTTAGACCTTACCATACTATTTCATATTGATAACTCTCTTTTAAAATGTTCAACTTATATATTGCTAAGAGTAGTATTTAGACCTTACCATACTAGTTCATATTGATAACTCTTTTAAAATGTTCAACTTATATATTGCTAAGAGTAGTATTTAGACCTTACCATACTAGTTCATATTGATAACTCTCTTTTAAAATGTTCAACTTATATATTGCTAAGAGTAGTATTTAGACCTTACCATACTAGTTCATATTGATAACTCTCTTTTAAAATGTTCAACTTATATATTGCTAAGAGTAGTATTTAGACCTTACCATACTAGTTCATATTGATAACTCTCTTTCAAAATGTTCAACTTATATATTGCTAAGAGTAGTATTTAGACCTTACCATACTAGTTCATATTGATAACTCTCTTTCAAAATGTTCAACTTATATATTGCTAAGAGTAGTACTTAGACCTTACCATACTAGTTCATATTGATAACTCTCTTTTAAAATGTTCAACTTATATATTGCTAAGAGTAGTATTTGTAAATGTTCAACTTATATATTGCTAAGAGTAGTATTTAGACCTTACCATACTAGTTCATATTGATAACTCTCTTTTAAAATGTTCCAACTTATAATGAATAAATACCTTATTGCTTACAGTAATATTTAGACCTTACCATACTAGTTCATATTAATAACTCTCTTTTAAAATGTTCCAACTTATAATGAATAAATACCTTATTGCTTAGTAAAGTAATATTTAGACCTTACCATACTAGTTCATATTAATAACTCTCTTTTAAAATGTTCCAACTTATAATGAATAAATACCTTATTGCTTACAGTAATATTTAGACCTTACCATACTAGTTCATATTGATAACTCTCTTTTAAAATATTCCAACTTACAATGAGTAAAAATTGCACTTCAATTTGCAATATCAAAATAAAATAAAAAATTACTCATCATCATCATCTTGATCAATTTTGCTACTTCGAAAATGTTTTAATTTGCCAATATCACTTTATATTTATTACTAATAGAGTTTTTAAGAAAAGTAGTCCAAATGGCAAGGTACGTAAGTTATCTATCTTCATTTAAAATGAATATCCATTGAAATACTATCTTCTATTTTTCCTATCAAAATAACAACAATGTTGATCGAATATTTTTGCATCATTCCATTACAACTCTACCATCAAACGAGTACATATATAGCAACGAATACTGTACATATCTTAAAAATGCAAGTTAACAATTTCAAGAGCATCCAATTGACTAAACAGTTACCGTACTAAAATAATCAATTGATCTACTGTATTCCCTATCATGGTTATTACTTTTATTTTGAACCTATTTAGACACAAGCCACTTCTTCTTCCTTTATGTATAGTAATGTGAAATTTAAAAATAACCCATTTTGTCTTCATAGTTTAAGTCGTTGTCAAATTTTTATCCTACTGATACTCTCCCATTAAAAAGCCTCCATAGGTGTTTATACCCTAAATATGATTCTATCCTTTCAATATTGATTGCTACTACAACAGTAGTGTCCGTCGACAGTACCGTTCTTGAATTAATTAAACGAATTAAAAAGTTCAATTTATGTGTCGATAATACGCTATAATCATTGTTATAACTGATCAACGTTTTACCTTTGATATATCGCTAAAAATCATCGTCAAGTTATAGACTACATCTTGTAATACTGTCATATCGTGATTCATGATATTTTATAGATGTTAGTTTCGTTTCATACGCATTATTAATGTTGTCTATATATACAATGTCATATTTTCTTTCCTTTGCAGTTGTATATTACGTACATGTATTTATTGGTGCTAGATTAAGTAGGGCTGGTACATATTGTAACGGCAAGAACAAGGACGTTTTGAAGCATAGTTTGTTCAATCTTTTATTTTTATAGACAGTTTAGCGGTAGAATATCAACTGATGTTTTCGTTTACGTGACTATCTAGACCACTTTAAACTGTCGTCACTTTTATTTATTAATATGCCATCATGTCTATCATCTGTATAACTGAATCTTTCTGATAATACTTTTCATCTCTGGTTACTTCTTAATGTCAGATAAAAGGAAACGTTTCCGTATACTACGTAGATATCAGTCACAACAATTTATACTCTTATTATGATAACCTGGTGCAACATAGATTATTTCAATTTCTCCCTGATGATGGACTTTTTACTCTTGACGCAACCTCTATCACATAAAAGATTAATTTTATTCTTTATACTAACATTTTTCACACGCGTTAACCTGCACCTGCACGTCATTTTAACAAAAAAAATGAAAGGAAAAAAATTTTTAATATCATTTTATGTAACTTTCAACATGATTTATAATATACTTTATCTCTCTAAACTAAACAGAGATTATGGTGCAATTAGGTAGTAGATTTTGAAAATGATCGATATTGTCCTCTATAATAATGAATCCACAAATATCAAGTGATATACAATAATAATAGTGATCTACGTTTTCTTATATTGAATCATATATCATCGTTGCGTTTTTTCATTTTAAATATACTCAATCTTATCCTATATTCTTACAGTGCAAGTAAATGACCATTATAAAGATGAAATTAACAATTTTTTTTGTCTTTGACTATTTTCAATATACAGTAATTCTATAGTAGTTCTAGTAATATAGTACAACAACAAAGGGTGATGTTAATCGACAACTGATCAAGATTTAGAAAAGCTTTACATTATTACACCGTAGAATATTTTTACCCTTGAACACTTAAAAAAATGTCCCAGTCTTTATATACGTACATATATATTTACATTCATTGTAACGTAGTTATAACAAAAACCTCTCTGACATTGGAAATTAATTCTAATTTTTTTCATCTACACTTAATTTACGCTTTGGCGCTTAATAGGGCATATCTCTGATGTTTTATGCCCCAATTCTATCTTTTTCTTTTCTCGTGGTGTCGCATATTGTTTATTATTTATGGGTAGAGTATTCGCACCGATACAACTTTGCATACAACTTACTCGACGTTCTGCACATCAATAAAATGAATGATGTTATAGAGCACTTAGTATTTTAACATTTATGGATACAGAATTAGATAATTTGATATCAGCTTTTCGAAATTTATTCAGAGAAGAAGAAATAGATCACAGTTGGGATCACATTTTGTATTATATAGATATTATTGTTTGACTATTGTAATTTTATTTCCTTGTAAATGCTCTACTATCGTTTTATAGAACTGTACTGTCAACAAACTAAACAAAAAATTTTTATATATCATACAAGACCATGTTAAATAAATATTTCTGTATTGTATGCTTATCTATTCGTATATTATAGCTATAACTATAATTGAGACAATACACTATATTGTAGACATTAGAAATGCTTAAAACTGTCTATGTAGACGGTATTAAACTGATATAATAATTTTCAACGTACAATCTAATCATTATAATTATAATCGTTTTTTTTTTAATCATATATTGTACAAGTTTTTTCAAATAGAAACTGGACAATATGCTATGCTACTGTATATTCTTTTAGAAATATTTCTGTCAAATCATTCATTTGTCTTATCTTTTATCTATTGTCAAATAGAAAAATTAGAGATATAATTTTTAATCAATGTTTAGCGTTATAGTGGTACCAAGACAGCTTGTAGTATATAAATTCTCTTTTTCTATCACTTTTATTCCTTTAATTAATTACGTATGCTACTTAAAATGATACTTCTATAAAACGATAGCTAATCCAGTAAACAATATCGTATAGGTGTTTATTAATAGATTTAAACTTCATACAGGCGTATACAGCGTAGTACTGTATCAGCTATAGCCAATTATATCTCGTTATACTCTTACATAATTTCTCTTTGCCCCTAAATGAAAAGTTTTAATCGATTTTTATGATAAGGAATTAAATAGTCTGATATTTATTATGTTTCAATATTTTTGATGCGATATAAATTTAATAGTCTAAAGAATAATACCGAATTTTAATTTAATTTTTGTATCGGCAATGTAGGCATAACTAACATGTTTCCTCAATCAATCAATATTTTAGCTTACCACTTACCTTGGAAAAAGAGATTTTGTAGATCATATTGATCATATCGATCCCGTAGGTTAGTTATACAAATAAAATTATAGTAGCAAATTATTTACTACAATAATTAGCATATAGTGATTGGCTAATATTCGCGTTTGGGATAAAAATTGAATAACCAATACTGTCATATCATACCAGTATGATTACAACATAAACTTTCTTTTTTATGCTTAATTGGTTCAACACCCACTGGTAACACTCTTTTTAAAAGTATATAGTAATATCTTATCTAATGTTATCATTGCTGTTTAGATGGCGTTGTTTTAGTGGATCCAGAGTATATTGCCGACAAAAAAGGTATAGCAATTAATTCTATCAGCTAGGGAAGAAAAGATTATTCGTATATAGTTCCTCTAGTTAAAACCGTAAAGCTTGATGGTTAGGATATAGATATGTATAAAGAGATAGTATTTTTCATTAAAATCGTGGAAATTATGTTGCTACTTAGTCAATAATTAATCATGTAATACAGTGTTTTTTATAAGCAAAAATTATAATATCATTAATAATCAAAGTGATAATTTTATAGTAAACGGTTTATTAACGATAACTTTCTTTTCAATTTTTGCCTTTTAGTTTATGTACACGTATTGGCTGCATTTCGGTAAAATCTAATTTAAAATTAATGAGTACATACATTGGCATAGTTGGTATTTGATCTGTAAAGGAGAAAAAATAGTGCACTAACAAAAATATTGTTGTATAATGGTGGTAGTTATGGAAGAGAAGATTTGGATGTTTTAGGACTGACATTTAGGAAGGATTTATTCTTAGTAAGCAGCTACAACAATAAGTACACATTCTCAACTATGAGAAATCTGAAAGTATTGATAATGTTTAATTTTCTTTATCATAATTTATCAAATATTGTAGTCAACACTTCAGATTTATCCACCTCTACCAGAGAACGAAAGGCCATTAACTAAGTTACAAGAACGTTTAATAAAAAAACTTGGTGAAAATGCGTACCCTTTCTACTTCGAGGTAGCAATGACAAACAGCCATCTAGCGTAATCGTATTGGGTTATGATTACTACTAAGAGCTCATGTTTATGATCAATTATAGTTGTCTGTTGGGTCGCCATCTTCTGTTACATTACAACCAGCCCCTGGAGATACCGGAAAGGTACTTTAGTAATTATCGGGTACAGAATGAATGCGTTACCTATATATAATTTTACCTAAATATTATCGATATAATATTCTAATTAGCCATGTGGCGTAGACTATGAATTGAAAACTTATGTTGGAGACTCACCTGACGACAAAGCGCATAAAAGGTACAGCATTGTTCCTGTAATAGTGTTGGAATGATGCTGTTAGTTTTTCTTTAGCTCCCTATTTTGATTCATTTCCAAACAAATATTTATCCGTTAGACTATGGGTTTTTATCTAAAATCATTTAATGTGTATTTCATTAACTCAGAGACACAATAAGACTAGCGATCAGAAAAATAACGTATGCGCCTGATGAGAACATACCGCAAGTAAGTACTTGTTATTCATTGTATATTCTTGTACAGTATGTGTCTTAATTTTGCTAAAATAAAACTTTGCTTTGTTTTACATAGCCTACAGCTGAGATCACTAAAGAATTTATGATGAGTTCTTATCCATTGCACTTGGAATGCACTCTGGATAAAGGGGTATAACACATTATCAAGGCCATAATTATTAACGTTAATCTAAATGTTAACGCTAATTGACCATGCTATATTTTGGATTATTTACAACTATTTTAGATGTATTACCATGGCGAGCCAATCAAAGTTAATGTTAGTATAGCTAATAGATCGTCAAAAACTGTTAAGAAAATCCGTTTATCAGGTAAAGATCTTCGTAGATTACACTTATATTTATATCGACCGACGATTAGTCAAGGCAAAGCATGTATTTCTATCTAATAATTTTATACTTCTTCACTTTAGTACGTCAATTTGCAGACATATGCTTATTCTCTACTGCCCAATATAAATGTCCGGTTGCTGTTGTAGAGTCTGAGTACGTATATCTATATCAATCACAGCTGGTTGATTACTAAGTGCATTGATAACGATAAATTATAATGTAATAGAGATGGATTTCCTCTTAATCCTGGTGGAACATTAAATAAAATTTTCACGCTAGTTCCTCTGCTAGAAGATAACAGGGTAAAATTAAATTTATAGCACTGTATATTTCGATATCTTTAAAAGACTAGATTGAATGAGTAACTTGACATAATTTATAAACAGGACAAAAGAGGACTTGCATTGGATGGTAAGCTTAAGCACGAGGACACCAATTTGGCTTCTTCCACTATGTACGGAATGAGTGCTTTGCTATCATGATGACATTCAGATTTTTGATTTTATGCTCGATAATTAATTCTTGGTGTATTACTTTTATTGATAATTAAAATTTTATTACGCAGTTACGATCCTGGTGTTAGCAAAGAAAATCTTGGAATTGTAGTACAATACAAAGTTAAAGTAAGATTACTGGTCGCTCTTGGAAGGTAATGATATCAAATATGAAGTAAATTGAACAATCGTTAAGATAATGTATTCGACTTAGTTACTTACCTAAGTTTTAATTCATATAGTGACGTAGCTTTGGAATTACCATTTACACTGACTCATCCAAAACCTATTGAGCCGGAAGAGCCAATTGTAACCCAGCCCGAAGTTAATCCCCCACAAGGTATGTAACTAAGTTGAGAAATTATGGGACATGATTACTTGTCTTGTGTGTAGAGATGATATCGTTAATTGGCTTTAATGTGGAATATAGCGGTAGCAGATACCAAGCCAGAGACAAAGAATACGGAAGCACCTATAGATAATAACTTAATTATGTTCGACACAAGGTCTGATTAATATTTTAAAGTAGCTACAAATTTTATAGCGTATAATTTATGTTTATCATTTTTTTCCTAATTTATTCTACTTGGATTTACTTTAGTGGAACTGGAGCATTGTTGGCCGATCAGGATGATGATTTTATCATCGAAGAGTTTGTTCGCATGCGTTTGAAAGACCATAGTAAGGATTCTTCTGAAGCTTAAGTGGATACTCGACCTTAGTCAGATGTACTAGGCAGTATTTTAAATGCTTGTTATGTAAGGATAGTTCACAAATGCTCTTATATAGTTGGAGTAGCTTTGTATACACTATATTACTATACGTATTTGTAGAAAGCAGTCAAATTTTGTTAAAATATGCAATCTCCCATTCATCTTTTGCTATGGACAATTATTGTAGAGTGCCGTTATTGGTACTGATGGACAGTATTTACGCGGCAGCATGCTAATGTGTCATTTTTGTCCTGATAGCCAGGCGGTTCTGTCCATGGTTCTCTAATATTGTTAGGTTTTTATTTCCTCATATATTAAGCACATTTCCATTATGTGTTACACGTATAGAGGTCCTCATGTAACTGATGGTAATTCTACCTCATCGATTACAAAAGATCTAATATGACAGTATAAAATAAGAATCAAGGGATACTTTCTCTTGATAAACGTATTTGCAATAATTATGACATTTTTTGTCTCATCATCTGTATAGCAGAAGTTGTGAATTTTGAATTTACATATCGTTTTTCCCGCTCCCGCTTGCGTCATTATTATTTCTTAATATTTCGACAATAGATTTGACCATGAAAATTTTCTTTCGTACTGTTCAGTTTATTGGCAATTATACGAACATATAAGGTTCCTTATGTAATATTATGAAGCATGATAATATAGAAGGTTGTAGTCATGCATTTTAAATAACTAATGTATGCCAGTATTTTAAGAGCTTTAAAATTAATTTCCAAAGATTATGATCCTACATTGTTTTGGAAATAAAAGTTTACAGGTAATTCGGTAGATTTTATCTTAAAGAACTCAATTTCAATGCTGTTTACTGTGTTAAAAAATTATACTACTATGTGACAGATGTAACGATAATTTTGAAATGGTTATTACAGTATGATTGGTGAAATCTTTCTATACTTAAAAGTTTAATACTAGCAGTGAATTATCTCAGAAGTAAATGGATCATCTTGATTTCCAATCATTTATAAGATCTGCGCTTTTGATTAACCGAGGCCAAAGAAATTTACGATTTTAAATTAGATTTGTGGTTATCAACATTTTGAGTTTATCCGAATTTATAAATATGGCTGACTTAAGGCAAGCGAAATGTTTGTGAATGAGTTTCTAAGGCAAATCGGATCTTGTTCATTGTTTACTCAACTGATTCATAATGTCATAGTTGGTTGGACATTAACATGGCATAAGATGTGATGAGTTATCTTAGTAAAACTAATACTTTTTCTATACTGTACTTGTATGAAAAATTCATCCTTTAAAGTCTTTATAGGTATCATCGGAATACCCGTATGATGTATCTTTCCGAGTACAGCATCTACCGACCTGACTACTATTTTATAAATTTGCGTATATTGTACAGTATAAGAAGTTTTATTTGTTTACAGTATATACTCATTTAATGCATCGGAATTTAGATTTATCAATTTACCGTATTCTTTGCCTTATAATATCATATTCCATATTGTAGCTGCTTACTGACATAATTAAGTCCCACATATTGTATTAAAGCTTAACTCTTTATAGGAATGCAGACGCATTTGCAACTACGTTATAAAACTAGAGAACTGATCTGATTTTACTCAACAAACAAACAGTTGAGCTTATAATAAACTCTTCGGATGATGATTCACCTTGACGAATAATTTTTACTTGATAATCAAATTAATGTAACGATATTAATAGATATAGATGTTTACTGATTAATTCTAGATAGTCGGACTACTGCATGTCAATTCACAGAATCTTTTATAGTGTAACCTATATAAAATCTACTGTCATTTAAAATTGTAATCTAAACTTTACGGTGTACGCGAGACGTATCCATAATCTGATGGATTTGAGTCATAGTTGAACGTGGTATCAACAATAGTAAGTAAATCGCTACATGATTTTGCAAAGAACAGTGTGCTATACCGTACACCAAATTACCTTGACTGTTAAGCAACCCACACGGTATTGTACAACATATAATTTACTCCAGCAAATTACAACCATGTTGACTTCTACTGTCTGCAGGTCTGAATTGTAGTCACCATGTAAGAACGTTAAATTCACGAATTCTTACTGTCCATCCCTAAGGGTAGTTCATGCTATGACAACATGTGGTAATTTAGATTAGAAATAAAAGCAGTTCGATTAATAGGCATCCTTTCAAGAGCCAACATCCATTATGTTGCATTTAAAAAGAAAATTTTATTCATATTCACCAAGATAAAACCAAAAATAGACATTGAATTGTTAGGCACTATATTAAATCGTGAGATCTTACGTAGCTAGATAGAAATATGTGTGTATCATGTGCTAATTGTGTGCTGTTATTAAGCGTAGGAAAACATCAGTAGCAATAATAAGTTTGATTCACGTATGCATATGGTGCGATTTAATATAATGCTCCGCTTGTACGATTTCCGAATCTGAACCGATTCGGTAATAAATTTATTCGAGGTCCCCACGTAAAACGCAACACCTTTATACTCAAGATTTTACCATAATAACATAATGTTGCTGCAATTTTTCATAGCTGCATCATGTAAAATACAATTTCGAGTAAAAGAATTACATAGTAAGACGTTCGACGACTTTCATGCTTACGACTATAGGATAAGCAGATAATATTTCCTCATTAATGTTTTATCCCAAATCTTAATAAATTACTTATGTTTACTTAACACACTATCAAATGCATCAATGAAGTAGTTGGCATGGTATGGCTCAAATATTAGGGCAGGCCTTAACCGCATTGCTAATGCACCACACGAGCCCGCCATTATTCCTGTTATATTAGTATGGATGTATAAAGAATTGTAATTAGTTTTGATACCAGTAAAATTATACGAACGAACGCAATATTAAGAAATAATTTAATGTTAAATTCTTTAGTGATTGCAGTTAGAAGTTAGTAAAAATACGCCTCTATACAATTAATGTGGCGTAAATGCACGTATTCCAAATTGTATACTGGTCGTCAAATCATTAATTATACATATCTACCGGATAACGTATTGATCATGAACTCACCATTATTTTTTAAATCAGCAATAATTTCATCTCGTTTTTTGCTATCAATAAAGTCAATAGCGCAGAACGTTCCCATTCCACGAGGACGAGATATTATGTTTGGATATTTCGACTAGCAATAAAAGTTTAGTTTTACTTTTGTTTAATCTTAAATCTGAGTAGATAAAGTTTCTTTGGGTATTATCTCGGAATTACAGTAAAAACAGTAGCAATATACTATTGACAATCAGATACACGAGATTGATAATGTATGACACGTTGTAATTAAAAATGATTGATTTTTTTATACCCCGTACATCTTTCGTAATAATAGTAATAAATATCGATTTAGTGCGACCTTACCGCTAGTGATTTTAGACCAGTTTGCAAAACTTCTCCGGATTCTTTCGCAAGATCTATTAGTTTCTCTCGTTTAATGCAATTAATGATCGCTTCTAATAAGACCAACTTCGAAGAATCTCCTAACCAAGTGTTAAAGACGCGATAACTCTGTAAAGTAGGTCGAACAGTTTAGTTTAGAATTGTACATGGCTAGTTGGACATATATCCACTCAAATTGTAACCTATCAAAGTAAGATTGTAAAAGAATAGTATAAACTGATTTCGTAAATTGCCGGTAACATAAATACTAGTTATATGTACTAGATAAAATATTAGAATACAATTCGAAGTAAATAAATATGTTTCACTATAACAAAAACCTCATCCACTCTCATTTCATCCTTATGATATATTCCCCCTAATTGCATCTTTTTGCTAAATGTAACCATTTCAGGGGGATCATCCAACTCCCAACTTTCGTGAGCCCTAAAGGAAAGAATAAATATGTAAATTTAAATAACTAAATACTGTTACACTGTTGCAATATTAAAAGAAACATAATGTTTTCAATTATTTTCATGGATCAGGTTTACAATGAATTAAATATTGTATATACTCGTACTATAACATCATGTGATCTAAATCTTCAATCGCATATATTACCACATATGGCCGGTAGCTGCGCATCCAGTTTGTACTTCGTCAACAAGAAAAGCAGCTCCAACCTGTAACCAAAATATTTAAACATAAATATAAAGGCAAGATTATTTGAAAGTTAATTGAAAAAATTGAATGATGGCATATAATCTAACGTGGTCTTGTCTGGTGGTGTAAAGTATTAATAATAGAGTTTAACCATTTAAATTATTGACAGCAATTTTAGAAATCATAAATACGTATTTTACTTCTTTAGCAATGTTTCGTAACTGTCGGAAAAATGCTACCGATGCATGATTATCACCTGATATTAGTAAAAAATAGACAAGTTCAAAGGTTGATGCTAAAAAGCCGACTCACTTTACTATTCAAAGTGAGTATTATTTTCAATGCAAATATATATATATAGAACGATAGTATAAATTTTATGAGTTTGAATTAGCATTAGTAATTCTTTAATAGTAAAAATATAGAAATTTTTACTGTAGCAAGAAGTGTTACTATGATCGCGATTTATCTTTCAAGTTACTTACCTCCTTCCGCCTGAATAGGTTCAACAACGATTACAGCGACCGGGGAACCCTTGTTTTCATATTCATTAATTAATTGCTTAACCTATGCGCGTATTCAAGAATCGATACAATAACATTGAAATAAGCTATCTATTCTTCAGTTTGTGCATTAAATTGACTAAGTACTGTCTTATTGCTAGACGGCTAAAAGAATTTAGAGAGTCTGGAAGCTATTAATGGCTGCAGCAACGTAAGTGAGCGGTCCTATGGCCATAAGTAAGACTACATATAAGTGGATTACTGAATTACTGTAACTATAAAAATGCTGGGGATATTTACGTGAAATGTGTACTGTATCATGCCTTGAGAAATTAGTACGCATAGTGTCTTTATAGTAGAAAAGCTACCCGGATCGTTTTAATACCTTATCTAAGCACCGCTCCTCTTCTAATTGATTTTCTTTCTGAAAGTTTTCCAGTGGATATTTCAACTGTGGAAAGGGCGCCGTAGGCCAATCAAAAGCAGGAATATCCAATTTATGGACTGCCTTGGAATGGGTGGTTGATAAGGTGCCTATCAGTACCATTAATATAGCATTAAGCTGTTAATTATCACGGTTAGATAATAAATTGATAATTTTAATCATGCATGCACAGAGTTAAAAAGAATTTATTTTTTGGATTTACCCATTGTTCTACCGTGAAAACCGCCATCGAACGATAAGATGCTAAGTTTAGGCGATCCAGGAACCTAAAAATTATTTAGCCATTGAAAAAGATATGAGATATAACTTTAAATACGGGAAAGGGCATACAACAAGTTTTTTCAAGTGATAGAAATAGGTTAAAGTAGTTTCTTAGATAGAAAGATTTTAGAACGTGTTGATATACTGTAAAGTTTCGCAATCATAGAGAATAAATCACTACTAACTTTATTTAAAAGTGTAGATTCCAATTCTTCCTTTGTGGGTGGTTTTCCATCTCGTTTCTTTCTCTAATCAAATTGGTAGAAGACTAGAACTTAGTGAAACAATATAAAACATGTCTACTTATTCAGCACTGAATATATACAGTATATATATATATGTGTTAACAAAAAGCTATTATGGTATTTACCATATACCAAATAAATCCCATTTTATATGCGTTTTCATTTGAGCAAGAACCGCAGCCCATTAGAGTGACATTTTTTAATTCTGGAGGCGATACCTGTAAAATAATACAATTAAATTTTAGAATTACATTCGTTTCTCATTAATTAGGTATCAATAAACAGTGACAAAATAGCCGATTATTTGATCTATGAGCAACTTGAAAGGTATCCAATTCCAAGCCATTCTAGTTATTTAATCAAGATGCAGACTTTTGGAGTATGTTTGCGGTAGGATAGTAGATTGGTAATTATCCTTAATACGCAGCTTTTATACGTAGCAGATAATGTAGCGTTACAGTAAAATGCAAATTTGTATCCTAAGTTTTGGTGAATTAGAGCTGCCACATTTACAGTTTATGAATAGACTGGCCGTAAATATTTAGTGGAATACTTGTATATGCTTTAAGCGTAATAAAGAACTTCATTTGAAACGTAAGTATACCAGAAGAGAATTATAATAGATAGCCATTCCTAACAGTATTATGCCTGTATTAACCTCGATGATAGTCTCGTGTAATTTCGTAGGAAAGTCGACCGGTGGATTAACACCAAGCGCAGGGCGATTAATAATAACAGACTAAGAATCAAGAATTTTAAAAACCGTGAGGAAATGTGGGTTGCATTGAAGCCAATTTTTTTAATCGAAATCATGTCTATTGATTAAAACATTAATTTACGATGGTATGGCAGTATCATCGAATTTTGAAAACTAAATTAAAATTAGCATAAATTAAGTAAATGACAATTATACCGCATTATCAGGATTAAGTAAGGCTTGAATAAGATCAGGATGATTGTAACCCAACGGCAAAGATGCAATTTGACAGAATATGTCAAGTAATCTATTTCCATCGACGTCAACAATATAATTGCCCTGACTTTGTTGAAAATCAGTAAAAAATTGTACTGCTGTAACATCCTATACAGTAATCAAGAATGAAATAATAATCATTACAAGTTCAATAGATGCTGCATAACTTGATAGAGTATATTACTAGTATACAGTATGCTGTATTGTTGTTGCATATACATTGAAAACAGCTATCGATACCATCAATCCGCCTACATTAATATGTCGGCATCTAAATATATATATTTAAAATGCATTATCAGAGGTAAAAAGTCAAGTTAAATACCTGCACCATGACTTAATCTTTCACTAACCTGTATCTGCCTTAGAGATTTTAACAATTCCTATAATTAACATAACAAATAACATTTGTTGTTTATGTTAAGTTGATGTTGATGAAACGTCATATTTTAGGAGAAGAATGCTGACACCCTGCATGTATTTTCGATGGTAGATTATTTTTCTTTTAATTTATTTTGAAGATCGAAGCAAAAAAGTGAAATAATCTTGGTCACACTAAAAGTTTACTGAGCGCATATCAAAAGTAGTTTATTTGGTGACAGCTTTGCTTTTAGGGTATTTTAGTCCGGTCTTAATATAGCTCGATTTCATTTCACATAGATCAAACTACAGTACATTATTGGTAAAGACTTAATAGATAGCATGATTACCACTAAAGATGTACGATATAATACGGTATGGTACAATTTTCATATGTTAATATAATCCTTCTGGCATAGCACGAACTGTACTGTATAGTGTAGGTGCTGAAAAAGAGTGACGGAATACCTTTGAACGAGGACCAGGCATCGGTGTTTTCATTAATGGTTGACTATAGGTATCAAAACGACGCTTTTGGTTGGTTTCCGTAGAAGCTTGCTGGAGTGAATACCATTCTGCATAGCAAAGATATATTGTTAGAATCAGACTGAAATTGGTAATAAAAATTCTTATAGTCCATGGCAAATTTAACCCATTACATTACTATGATAGCATAATAACCCTTCAGATAATTCATGTATTGTAGCTACTGAAATAATGCATGCTGTATACTGTATACGCGTATGCTTAGAATTAGGCATATTAGTACAGTAGTAATGCTAATTGCATATGAGTTTGCAATATGAGTAGGTACTTGCAGACTGAATGTGATACCCTTTAAAAGAATAAGTCCGTATTCATGATATCATAATATCCAGATATCATTTTGCTGTCAATATTTTAAAACAGCGTTGATAACTTCACCATCAGTAAACATAAACTATAATGTAATTGTCTTATTCATTGATTACGATGGCAAGAAGGAAGATAATGTATGAATAATATGTATCGTACTGCATGGAAAAGCGAATGTGGCGAAGACGTACATATACTGTACTGGTGCGTAAAATAGAGTAGAATATCAAGTGTTCCTAAAGGCAAGTCTTGCATGCATTATACTCCTAGGCAATCAAGTTTATTAATGAGAAATATTAACATGATTATCAACAGCTAATTACAGGCTATAAGTTATATATAGACACGATGGCGATGGCGATGACGATGAAGAAAGGTACAATGACAATCTGCAAGACAGGCACTGCACTGAACTGGATTCAAGATCGATAAGGTGAAAGATTGCAGTCTGTATGCTTTCGAGTCATCGGTCTGAAAATGCCTTCATGTAGCTCGCTAAGTACTGCACGACTATTTTCCTATATGGTATACGAGTATGACTGTGTGAATGACAAGCTGATTCTATATCATTCAAACTTACTTTGTATACCATTCTGGAGTCTCTTTATAAGACGAAAGGTATTGCCATGGGCGTTGACCGATTGCTTAGGTAGTAAAAACATGGTCGGCGTGACAGAGTCGATGTTGGCAAGGTTTAAATTTTCAATTAGTATTGACTTGAAGAGTGTAAAAAAGAATTTGCAAGTTGAAGCTGAACCACTAAAGCCGGTCAAGCATCTACCTATACAGGAGAAAAAATGCTTTGGAAAGAACACTAGTAGATTTGGATGCTGGTTTGTCTAGGATGAAGGGAGATCAGTTGGCACTAGGTCAGAGTCAGTTTGGATCGTTGTTGGGGCCTCTTGCTGGAATCTGTGTGCTTTCAATGCAATTTGCTGGATTTATGGATCGATGTTGTCTTGCAGGTGTTGACTGATTGTCTACTTGTTATTCTACGTATTCTATTAATAATGCAGTCAATGAACTGGTTTATTTATTCATCAGTCAGCAGATTGATTGTTATTCAAAGCAACCATTGGAAAACATAAGATGGCTACTTTACCTATCAAGCAAGATGGCGTCGGGGTCTACCTACTTTGAAGAGAAACACGGTAGCGTCACTTTTAAATCGCGTCAACCACCACTTGTGCACAATCTATTATTTATCGCTGAAGGTGTCGTCTGTTGTCGTCAGTTGTTGAAAGAAAAGATGGAAGATAGAGTACTGTACTGTACTGTAGACTGTAGACTGTACAGTATGGGCGGATCGACGAGTAACTACGCACTCTCTTTCCCTTCCGTCCTATCCCTGTATGTACTGTACTGTACAGTACATTAGATATCATAATGTGCTTTAAGACCATTAACTAATCTTAATATAGCATTCATCCGTGAATACATTACTGAAAAGTAGTATTCTGCAAACATTGCTGTGAATAGAGTAGTGCCTGGCTATTACCGGGATATAAATAATGTCGAATGGTAATACTATCTGTTAATTATTAACAAATAAGTACATTATCGTAAGCCGTCAGCAAAGCGACGTGAATTTGTACTAGTATATACTGTACTGTACTGTACTCAATTGTGCAGTATTGTTTTCTTTTCTTTTACCGTATCCCCTCGGTGGGCGGATCGACGAGTAACTACGCACTCTCTTTCCCTTCCGTCCTATCCCTGTATGTACTGTACTGTACATTAGATATCATAATGTGCTTTAAGACCATTAACTAATCTTAATATAGCATTCATCCGTGAATACATTACTGAAAAGTAGTATTCTACAAACATTGCTGTGAATAGAGTAGTGCCTGGCTATTACCGGGATATAAATAATGTCGAATGGTAATACTATCTGTTAATTATTAACAAATAAGTACATTATCGTAAGCCGTCAGCAAAGCGACGTGAATTTGTACTAGTATATACTGTACTGTACTGTACTCAATTGTGCAGTATTGTTTTCTTTTCTTTTACCGTATCCCCTCGGTGGGCGGATCGACGAGTAACTACGCACTCTCTTTCCCTTCCGTCCAATCCCTGTACAGTACAGTACAGTATCTACAGTACACTTGTACAGTGTACAGTACTGTACAGCGTGTTTACAGTACTGTGTTTTCAGATTGCCAAAATCCTTCTCGGGGTGCTTGAAAAATGAAAAGACCTCCAAAGTGCATACCAGTGTATACGGGTACATAGGATATTGAATGTGACTATTACTTAATTAGTCTGTTGAATTTTAAAGCAAGATTCTGACAACAAAATAAACACGCTGGTCATGTTAGGGTTGTACTGTACTGTATACCTTTTTAGGAGGTCTACGGAATCTACAGTAAGCTTTCTACTTGGAAGTTCTAACCATTGCTAACCATTATGCTTCTTGCCGATGTTTTTAACATACTGTACAAGTATTGTAGTTATTATGTGCCATACTGTACTGTAGGTACTGCACTAATCTTAGCACTTTCCAAATGTCAGTACAGTAGTACTGTAGAGCAGTGTTCCTGCTTTAGTAGCCCCTGGTAGAAGCCTGTTTGGACAAACTGTGTGTACTAGTAGAAGCAAGAGAAAACCTTTTTCTCTTACCTTTTACAATGATAGAACAGAAGAGTACCGCACAACGACAAGTCGTCAAAAATTCGTTCTTGACTAATTGTACAGTACAGTACTGTACACTGTACAGTACAGTACGGTATGTAGAGGAGACCTTACGGTGTACTGTACAGTATAGTATACAGTACTGTTACTACTGAAGTCTGGAACAGTAGTGCACTGTACAGCAAAATTTTTCTGTCGCAATGGTGTGACCGAGGTACAGTTATTGATACTACGTATATTCAAAAATAAAATAAAATAAAAAAATAAATAATAATAATAATACGATATCAAAAAATCTCGATGGGTACAGTAACTGCAGGGTGCGTAGCTCTGTTGGCGTTCTCATTATTCACCCCACTGTCTATACCATGATTTTGTGCTGTACTTTTTTATAGGTGGTAACTTTATTTACGTGGTAGTTTTGCATGAGATGTTTATTATTATAATTATTATTATTACAGCGGTTGCCTACCAAGTTGAAACGATTTAGTGTTCTAAGTACAGACTATAGACCATTCAGGCTGATACAACCTTGGGTTGTCGACTCTCTTGAACACTGATGGCTTCATGTAACAAAAGCCTGCAGACCTCTAGCTCCACCAGGCTGCACACAGTCGACAGTCCATTCCCATAGCAAGTATCAACAATTTGCCATACTATAAAACTATAAATCAGCGTTTCAACCATTTTTCAATGCCGTATTAAGTTGGCAATTCAAGCATTCGCTCTGTCAGCATGCAATAGCTTTTGAATACAATAAGACGATATTGTCAACATTTCTACAGCGATCCAATTTTCCCGCATCTCTCTCACTCGGCAAGAACACCCAGTAACAGGACAGTACAACAGTATACAGAGTACAGTATAGTACAATCTTCACAATCTCTTTCTTTTAAAAGATTGTGGAATACTGCACAGCATGTTTAACTTGGTTTTAGAATTTCCAAGTAAAAAATCGACTTCCTTCATTGCAATTAAAATAACTTCATATTCTATGTGTACTGTCTATCCATGCCTGCTAATTCTACTTTAACGATGCACTACGCAGGCACACAGTATACCCGCGTAAAAAATGCCGATGCCACACCACACCGGCTTTCCGTAACATTACCGTGCGGTAACGTTCTCAACATGCTATACAGTTTCTCGAAGAAGGAACTTTTACTATACTACAGCTTATAAATGACGTTACAGCATGCGTATCATAATGTTGCGTATTGTACGTCCACTTTCAAAACAACTTCCAATACCGTATCATTGGTAACACTTCTACTGAACTCTGAACGTGCGGGTTCTGTACTGGACTGACACTGTCCTGGACCTCTCCAACGGCGGTACTAGTACCGTACTGTGCTAAAAGCCCAATCGTCATAAATAATAATATTACCGTAATTGAGATATCAAAAAAAAGATTCATCGTCCCAAATTGGATGGCCATTTTAGCTGAAATCTAATTCATTTATCCATCTAGGTGAGTATATTAATCAAGGTATTGTAGGATGATGATTTCAAATTAATCTATACATCTTCCATACCAATAAAATACTTCTTCATATCTATATCATTCATGCATATTGACTCAAAATTTCCATATCATCAAGTAGAATGATTGACGATGATCCAGTCGTCTACAGTATTTGCTTCGTCTACAACTATTGGATATATACAGTTATCATCTTCTCCTTGTAAAATGATCATAAGTTCAATGTTAGTTAGCATTCATTGAAATAGAGATAACTATGCTGGAATAATTGTAGCACTGTATGGATAACTTGTAACTCTAAAATTGTTGTTGATGATGATAACATGGACAAGATGTAAGATATAGACACTCTCTGTAAATAATCAATTTACAACTTGAAAACTCCAATTTTGATTCCGATCTCATGCATATATTAGGTTCATTCCATTTATCCATCATTTCATTTCATGCAATCTACTAGTGATTGTTGACGGAGCAAGGAAAGAAGCAATCGTGGCGGTGAGTATTACTTTGATCAATCGAATATAGCTACTCCGTCTTTCATCGATGCAGCTCTAAATCGAGTTTGATCAATGTGCATGCACTGACAAATTTATTTCTATTGGTAAATGCGCACATGAAAAATACCACTGATGATAGCAAAGTAATTGATCGCTTGGTGAATATCTTTTCAATCTTAAGCGTTCTCAACTGATTTGCCTTCCTTGTTCAATATCATCTCATCATTGTCGTTGTTCATAGACGTTAAAGGGTAGTCAAAGGTCTACTACGCCTGATAACTAGGGTGATTGTTTACCATTGATGAAGTAGGTTATAGAGACGTATAATCGGACATGTACAATACTTTAATGCAATGATTCACACAGTACTTTGCCATTTTTGAGTTAAACGAGCTTTACTAAAAGACTTACACTACATATCCAGTCTCCAATGATTTGATGATTATGCTGATGTTGATAATGATTACATCTCCTGTAACCAGGCGTTTCTTAGGGTTATTAATGTATTCAGTCTTCAAAGTTTTTCGCTACACTAAATATGATTATTGTAAATTAGTTCCATAGCTCGAAATAATTTCGTCCAAAACAGTTCTCTACTAAAAATTGGCCAGCCACCGCGATTTACGTGAAAATATCTTATTAAATCTGCAGTCAATAATTCACAAACTTTTCGACTTGCAATAATTTTTAAAAGGATAATTAAACTGAAGATAATGGGCATTGCAGATCCCTTTTCACCTTCGTCTCATGATTTGCACAGTGTATATAGATCTCTTCTTAATTGTCAATATGCGCGTATATATATTACTTCTGATCGTTGTCTTGCTTTACGCTTAAATGCGGCATAATCTAGCTAGCGATGAGCCGTTACTACAGTACTCCTTATTGACTGCAGATAGCTATCACTATAACTCTTTCCAGCGACTTTTACCTGGAGTGCATGTAGG